TGGACCACCCAATACGCCGTCCAACCAATCACAGGCCGACCTAGCCAATTAACGCTTTCTCTCTCTGTCTACTGTCCTGACTGCTACTAAAAACGGCACTAGGGACCCGGTCGACCTCCTTGGTAGTCGGGCTCTCCCAAGTCAATCTTCTCTCATCTATTCTCCTTTCCCTTGTGTACACAATACACTTCTCTCTATTCTGGCCTTTACCGACTTCTCTGCTCTACTAAGTAACCATGGTCTAAAGATCGCAGTTGCTGAGTTTAACTCACATAACCCCCTGCGATATGACTATTTCCAGGCAGCGGTAGTTAGATACCTCCAGTCTTCGCTCATCTCCAACTTGCAAAGCCCAGCATTCATATCTTTAAACCGACCGGATGAATTCACGGTGCACACGGATCATCGTGGCGATGAAGATGTCGCGTCGGATTCATCGGCACTTTCGGAGGATTGAGAAAACTCGGCGGGTGGCATCCATTCCGGATAAAATGTCGTCTTTACTATGTCCATTCGGTAACAGCCTCACCCCGAAGTATTTAAAGCTGTCTACTTCTTCAAGTTGACGGCCATTAATCCACAGGGGTGCATTCTTCTCGTCAGGGGTGCATCTCGAGCGTAATTTAGTCTTCCCGGCATTCGTGGACAAGCCAACCGGTATAGTGATCTCATTCAGCCGTTACACTAAAAACTGTTGATAACCAACGCTCGAGGCTAGCAAGCTGATGTTATCCGCGTAGTCTAGATCAGTCAGCCGGCGTCCCGAATTGATCTGCGGGTTAATTTCTACTAAAAGACGGGAGATCGGGAAAGACGTTTCCAAATTGACTCCACTCCCACAACTTCCTTTCTATTAAATTCGCACTTGCCCCATGTTAGACTTTTTTTCGGAAGTGAGCCTATTTTAAACTGGACAACCATTCTGCTGGGAAGATAAAGCATACTTTTTATGCAAATGAAATCTTTGGTTTTGTCAAGGCTGATTGAGAGCCATGATGCTTTTGGCATTTGTAAAGCATGTGACTTTTAGAGTCAGCTTATTTAGGAGTTTTAACATAAGCATTTCCTCGCATTACTGAATATTTTCTTCTCAAAACAGTTTGCTATAGCTGGTGCTCCTTATATGCAGCTGCTTCCATCCATTAATTAACTTACGTCTTAGCTCGTCTCCTCCCCACGCGCGGACTTTGTTGCCTAAACTACCCGTAGCCTCAGGGTAGGTCAGTTGACCTATATTTGTTTCATTACATTTCAAGTACTGCTTAGATAGCTACTTCCCCAAAAAATTGACGTCCACAGACAAGTCCGACCGAATTTCAAACTAAGATGCTATTTCCCTTGCCCTATCAACGCCTATTGCGTCCTCCTTTAACTTACGTATGTGAAACTGAATAACATCCTTTCTTAAGTTGCGCTTATTAGTTACGCGCGTACATAAAATATTTTCACCATAACGGTTGTTTTCAGCATTCACGCAGTCTGAATTTATGGTTTGCATTTGACAGCCATACAAGTCCGAATCTGCTGGCCGGTCATAAATTAACATACCCAATACATGGACGCAACGGCAGTGACTTGCGTGTAAATACGTTGAGTGTGATATTAGGCATACGCAGCGTCTACTGTATTCTCTCCTGCTTTAACTGCCTGCGCCCGGTAGCAAGAAAGAATGCAGGTGACAGGGGACGGGAGCGAACGAAGTGTCTGACAAAGTTACTCAGTCAATTTACACGGTCCGGGTCCATGAACAAAAGAACAGATTTTTACAAAGACAATGAGGCGGCTCGTAGCGCATCTGATTGGCAGTATCATAGAGGTCACATTATGAAGTAGCCAGTGCACATTGACTCACTGTCCTCAAGGAGCTTAGACAAGCAGTCAATTGGCAAATTGTCAAGCCCCGACTTTTAGCGTAGCGTTATAGTTTCCTATGCCGTTATATTTACATTTCAGATTGCCTAAGTCATGAAATTTAGGAAGATCGAATGGGTTTGTAGATTCTTGAGAGAAGCCTACAAGATGTTCTTGTGGCTACGCTTCTGTTGTCATTGTCAACGAGCCTCCGTGGCGATATCACCGTAGGGCAGTCGCTTCAATATGCTTTCTTTATAAGTGCTTTGCGGCGTTCAGTTTACGTTTCACAATCGCTAAGACGGACAGAGATATTTTAAACCCCGTATCGGCCGATTCCACACATCCGAATGATGCGCTGGTATCTGCTTGGATAGGTTTACCCTTTAAACCGACAGCTGCCAAATCTTTACATAGGTTCATCCAACATATTTAAGTAAGCACCTCGCACACGCAATTCTAAAACGACCAATTAACGACAAGTTGTGTTGATCAGCGTTGGTTGTTTGTTTTGGCTTACATCGTGATAATATATATGGGACAAACATGCTCATTACTTTGTATGGTTCAGAAAGGTGCTTTGATGGAGTTAGCATATAAAGGTCACTTTAAAAGTGTTATTCGTTCCTCCTTGCATTTTCCTCAGCTCCCTAAGAGTCAAACGCGTGGGCAATTTCGCCAATCTACAGTGTTAGTGGAGAGTTTGCATTAAACACAAATTAAGGCCTTTGAGCTCGGGTATGCGGACGTGACCTTTTCTCCTGGTTACCGCAATGCCGTTACAGTCCACACCCAAAGTTGAAGAGTGTCCTGCGGTCGTTACGTATACAAATAAAAGCATAAGATAGTCAAGCAGAACTTAACCAAGCCCCATTACCTCAGCCCGAAATTTAACAAGTTCGATAGACCGCACAAGGTGCAACCAGACCAAACGTATGTGCACACAACAGTTCAGCATATTGTGCACTCATAACGCAAGCTGTTATCAAGCCGCGTCACCCATGATGTCCGAAATAGCGAAAGAAGAACCTCGACAAGTCCACGGTCAACGATCTAGACACAGTTATTACAATTAAATTATGTTTCGTTCAATTAGTTCGTAAGCACTGGTAAACCGGCTAAAATGTCAGTGCTCCGATGAATTTGTTCCAGGATACATTTATACTTCTTGAAAAGATGGGTTAAGAGTTGGGAGAGCATGTTGAGAGCATGGAGCCCTTAAAGTTTTAGCGTAAATACAGCAGTCGATTAGCAGCACAAATAGATGCAGAACTAACGAACGGCCATTCAACATAAGAAGAACTCGGGATGTCAAAAAATGGCAGCAAACAATTCCCAGTTTTGCACACTAGCTTTCCGACTTTTCCAAATGGAACCATTCAAATTTAACTCAGCATCCACTTATTTGTCTAAAAATGCACGTTGAATAACTACTTAAAATCATCCAACTTCGAAGTCATTTAGTGTTCCGTTCATGGAGTGGAAAGTCAAGATCCTCGGCATGCATCATAGTAGCCATGCATACTACAGTATAGTTGGCAGGGCATAGACAAAGAATTTGCCTACCCGATTACTGTCGGTTCTGTGCAGATAGGTGAGTATTATGCATGGGTCACTGGGCATTCATAGATGGCATTTAATGAAAGTATATGTTTCTGCGCGCAGTCCTTTGCTATCGCAATTCCTGAGTGCCCAATCCACTAACTAGCATGATTTAAGTGTATATTCTAGAGTTAAACTAATAAACCATACCATATAACTTCATTTACTTCATCCAGTAGTAGCTTGGATCTCCTCGAGTTTAAATAACTTAATTCGCTAATGACCTCGAGCAACTTCGCGTATGACCAATTGATGACCTTGAGGCGGTTGCTTGCGGAGGGCCTAACGGAAGGCGAATTATATAGAAAAAATGAATTATCAGGGTAAACCAATTTACACATACCAAATTATCAGTAACTGTATGCCATTATCTGAGTTCGTCTACCAGCGTGTTCGTCTGGAGTGTCACGGTTTCGTACTATTTACGGCTGTTAGCTATATTTTCCAATTGGAAAGCGTATGTTCCTAAATTTACGCGTATAACAGCATTCGTACAAGAAAAGTTAATTTTGCATAAGATATTAACTCTTTCGAAATAACCAAGTAAAACAATGGAATAGTTTGAGGCAATGCATTGCATGTATTTGCTCAAATATTTCAAAAATGAAGTTCGTCTACAATTGCAGATTTCCTCATTAATGGCATTAAATTGTCTTATTAAACTACATTATTTGAAGTATTCCTCCAAACTTTCAATCGAAATCTTATTTTGTTATTAATAAATGCGTAACACTTAGTTTTTATGAAAAAAAGAAAAGCTTAATTTTTCGATTACATTTTCATCCGTTAACGAAAGGCGGCGTTTCTGCTATTGTCAAACCTTATCACGTGAACGTAGCTGAACTAATGTGTATCTAAAATACTCTGCGTTTTTTTATTTTCTGCTTAGTAAATTTTTATTGCCCGCCAGCTTGTCCACATCGCGGCCGCACATTTCAAATGGACGCCTGCGAATCTATCGCAGAACCTTGACCAAAACTCGTTACGCACGCATTTTCTGCCTCGAGAACATTCAGATATTCGAGATGAGAAGGGAGCTCTTATGTTATATGCGTATAAATGGCAACAAGCATTAAAATATCATCCGTGTTTCAGGCGTATGGTGTTCCCGCACATGTCGTCATCGCATGGACTTCGCGTTTAGACGGGCAAAAATTGAGAACCCTGGTACTCAAGCATGCCCCACACTGCCATGTTTTAAAAGGTCCGTAAGAATGGGGAAACATTTGTTGGTCATTTCCGGAACGCAGCACTCACACCTATTAGCAGCCCGTGAACTGGTGCACTGGAGAATGAATAAGACTAACAGCCCTGGGAAATGTCTGTATTCCTTACTGTAGTAAATGCAACGTGTTTCCACGTAACCCGATGTGTCAGTCGATGGAAAGCTTTAAGATTTCTCGAGATTACGGATCAGTTTGCAATGGCCCATTCTAACCGTGGTCTTTACATCACAACTAATTTCTGTGATATTTGGTCCTGCGTGCGGAACGCGGTACACTGCGACATAATATTCTGGCAGTCATTGCGCCCAAGGTAATTCCCAACCGGCTTGATTTGGATAAGCCATGGGAGAAGATATGGGGATCGATTGAAATTGAATCCTGCACTCAAATCCTCATGCTAAAATTGTAAATATAATTTGAACATGCCCCGTCGCGCTAACAATAGTAGCTGAGAGAGCTGATAGCTAACGTCCAAATGTATTCCTTTGGATTGTTCTCTCACTCTTGCTCACGGTATGTTGACTTCTCATGAAATATTAGTCCGAATCCTGAAAAGTATTCGTGATTTAAGAAAACAATTTATAAAGATTGTAAGATTGCTCATTGGAAAACATAATTTCAAGGTATTTTATTCACATCAGGATACCGGCTTTTGAGCAACCTTCTATCCAATCATCTGTAAATACAAATTTCTTTAAAAAATGACCACTTACGCAGTCTTACTTGTTCTCATTTATCTTAGATGCCCTTTTGAGATGATGGACTATATGTGTATGCTTTCTTCAGCCATTCCAGCAAAATATAGCTACATTTACCGAGAGTAGAAGTGAACTTAACAAAAAAGCAAGAATTGAAATAATGTCATAAAATGCACATCTACTAGGGAGATCTTTCCAATAAAATTTTTTTTATTTCTGTGTCTTAACATGTAAGATATTCGCAGTGGAGAAAGCTGCTATGTCGATGTGCGGCACAAGGTATGACAGAAGCCTTAGCGCACGAGACGGGAGAACTTTTTTTCCATTAGGGAAAGAGTGAAGGTTTTGGACAACATTAGCATAATTCGCTCCATAAGCGAATTTCTTGGATGTTGTGAAGTGTTGCTTTATATATATACCAAAACATAAGGAACACCAGGAACGAAGAACTGCATTTGGAGCATAGGCTTAAAAACAAAACAAAGGCTTTTAGGCAAAAGGGCAAAAAGAATAAGATAAGAACGAAGAATGACGGAGAACATGCAGGCATCTATAAATGTCCAAATTAGAGAGCTGACGTGTGTAATAGGAACGTAGAAACTTTATAAATAAGCTCACGACTTTTGCAAGTATGAGTGGAGAATGGAAGAATGGATATCAGAGGGACACTAATATACCATAAAGGCCATATCTCGTTGGGCAAAATGCCTAAAGTTTCAGAATTTGGGAGTGAATCGCAGTAGGAAAGCACACTAGGTTGGTTTCCAATTAATCAGCCGAAGACCATGTTCCAAATGCCTTTTGTAGAAAACGTGCACGAAACCACGCCTCTTTGCATCGTACAAATTTCATACTCTTACCAAGGGTATTAAAAAGTACCTAGTCATCAGCTCTTTTAGGCCGTAAAATGTTTGTTCATAGCGCATCTTATCAGTCGATGTCCATTGAAGATTTTCATATGCACTTTGTGATTTTTTGCTCAACAGCAGGCCAGTTTCGAAATAATCCAGCAATTGAGATTCTTTTGAAACTGAGAGGTACCTTTCATTTAAAGACAAAAAGGAGTACAAGGAAAATTTATTGTGGTGCATTTTTTGTATGAAATATACAGTAGCTGAATTCATTAAGTCACCACAAAGGAATGAGAAGAATTCAGTTTGTGTACATGGTCATTTTCTAAGTTTTGTTTAGAAGGCAGCTCGTTCAAAAGTCGACATCTTGAAGTGATTGGCATAGTTTGGATTAGGTTGCACGATACTTACTCCTACAACACTACTTTAGTGCTATTTTTAAAAACAAAAATATAAGAAGTTTTTGTTAACATTTCGACTGCAATTGCGTGACGCAAATACAATTTAAAAATAGACATATGAAACATCTAAGCATTCAGAATGTAGTGGAAGCTCAAGGTAGTGATGATTAGGCACAATAAACCAACGCAGTACACTTTAAAATACTAATATGCATCGCTTAGTGTAGAGAAAGCAGCTGAAGACCTAAAAATGTGGACTAATAATGAGTAGTATACAGTTCAAGTATTTGGAGAAAGAGTTTAGCGTCGGGTAAACGCACTTCCGTGCTGAGTGCGCAAGCTTATTCTTGAATTATGAACAAAGCATATGAGATGAATTGCATGTCAACCTTGCAAAGTGTCCAGTTGAGTGGATGAACTGACTTTTCTAGACAAATCGAGTCACGGCACTCGTCAGCGCCCCTTGGTTTGACTAGTTTTGGCTTTACAGGCGAGAAGACCTGTCCGAAAGCCTTTCGAATAGAGACGAAGTTAACGTGATCTCTAGAGCAAACATTAATTCCTGTGACTTTTTAGGTATCTGTCGCAGACTTGGTATCAGAGACAATGTCAGAAAGAGGTAATAAATACGCTGGGAATCGCAGCATTTATAGGATACGGTCACCATGCTACTGCGCAACTATGACAATTAACGGTTAACCCTGTCGCACAGTCGCTATGCTACTGAATAATTCGTACAACTAACGGCCCCCCACTATCGATGATAGTTGCCCGCTTGCGCGCTAATTGCTTGATGGCCGGTGTGCGGATTGAACCTTCATCATCCGTGATGGAATTGGGCGTGATGATTGCGCTGTCAACTGAATCTCTGGCGCTTTCATTGGACGAAACGTCGGCACTTTGGCGAATTGCTTTGGCCAAACTGAGTCTCAGCACAGAGTATGGATTGGGCAAGTCGTC